AGAAAGGAAATTTATAGCTACAAATGCCTACATTAAAAAGCAATCAGCAGGCTGGAGAGATAGCTCAGTGGTTAAGAGCACTGACTGCTCTTGCAGAGGACCCAGATTCAATTCCCAGCACCCACATGGTGGCTAACAACCACCTGCAACTCCAGTTCCAGGGCAATTAGATGCCTTCTTCTGACCTCCCTGGGCATTGCACAACACTGGCGCACTTACACACATGCAGGCAATACACTCATACACACAAAATAAAAAATAGATAAAATATTTTTTTAATTAAAAAAGCAATCAGTGCTGGGCATGGTAGTGCATGCTTTTAATCCCAGCACTTGGATCTCTGTGAGTTCAAGGCCAGCCTGGTCTACATAGTGCGTTCCAGGCCAACTGGGGCTACAAGAAAGACCTTGTCTCAAAAAAACAGGAAAAGCCGGGCGTGGTGGCGCATGCCTTTAATCCCAGCATTTGGGAGGCAGAGGCAGGCAGATCTCTTTGAGTTCAAGGCCATCCTGGTCTACATAGTGAGTTCCAGGACAGCTGGGGCTACAAGGAGACCCTGTCTCAAAAAGACACACACACACACACACACACAAAACCAGCCTGGGTAGCACATGCCTGCAATCCCAGCACCAGGGATATGGAGGAGTCAGCCTCCTTACACAGCAAGTTCAAGGACAGCCTGGGCTGCATTAGACCCTGTCTTCAACGGATACTCAGTGATCTTAAAATGAATAACAACAATGCACATCAGGGCCTTGGTAAAACAAGAACATGACAAACCTAAAATTAGTAGATAGACAGATATAGTTAAGATCAGGGCAGAAATAATGAAATGGAAATGGAAAACCAAATTACAAAGAATCTAGGACACAAAGAGTTGGTTCTGGGGCTGCAGAGATGGCTCAGCGGTTAAGAACACTGGTTGTTCTTGCAGCAGACCCTGGTTTGAATCCCAGCACCCACATGGCAGCTAACAACTGTCCATAACTCCAGTTCCAGGGGATCTGGCAGCCTCTTCTGTCCTCCTTGGGCATTGCATGACTTACCTACATGCAGGCAGTACACACATACACATAAAATAAAAATGATAAATAAAATATGAAAAAAAATTTTAAAAAAAGAGTTGGTTCTTTGAAAATACAAACAAGATAAGCAAAGCCTTGGCCAAACTAAAAAAAAAAAAAAGACCCAAATTAACAAAATTAAGAGATAAAAAAGAAGACATTAAAACAGATACCAATATAATTCAGAAACTCATTAGGACATACCTTAAAAATGTCCATTAACCTGAAAAATCTAGATGAAATGGAAGAATTTTTAGATACATATAAACTACTAAAATTAATCCAAGAAAAGATAAAACAACTTAAATCTATTATAAGCAATGAGATTTAAGTAGCAATAAAAAAATCCTCCCAACTAAAAGAAACCTAGGCTTAAATGCCCCACTGCTGATCTACCACACCTTTAAAGAGGAACTAACACAGTTGGGCATGGTGGCATATGCCTTCAATCCCAGCACTTAGGAGGCAGAGACAGAGGCAGGCACATCTTTATGAGTTCAAGGCCAGCCTGGTCTACATAGTGAGTTCCAGGACAGCTGGGGCTACAGGGAGACCCTGTTTCAAAAAGACCAAAAATTAAAAAAAACAAAAAAAAAAAAAAAAAAAAAAGAAAAAAAAGAGGAAGTAACACTAGTGCTTCAACTATTTCACAAACCAAAGAGAAAAGATGCTATCAAATTCTTTTTTTGAATTCTAATCTTATGCTCACGGATTAGAGGAATTAATATTATAAAAGTGACTATCTTACCAAAAGCAATGAACAGAGTCAAAGCAATCTCCCACCAAATTCCAACACCACCATTCTTCACAGAAATAGGAAAAAATAGCCTTAAAATTTATAGGAAGTGCAAAAGGCCAATTCAATCTTAAACAAAGAAAATAATGATTGCAGGATCGGCACACTTGATATTGTAATATTACTGAGCCACAGTAACAAAACCAGCACAATACTGGCACACAAACAGGCACAGATAATGGAATACAATAAAGGAGTCAGAAATAAACTCACGCAGCTACAGCCACCGGAGTTTTTACAGAGATGCCAAAAATATTCATAGGAGAAAAGACAGCCTTCTGCAACAAATGGTGCTAAGAAAATTGGATATCCACACACAGAATCAAGCTAGATCTCTATTTCTCACTCTGCACAAAAACCAACTCCAAGTGGATCAAAGACCTTAACGCAAGACTTGAAACTCTGACACTGTTAGAGGAAAAGTTAGGAAAATAATTTATGATCAGCCATAGGTACAGACTTTCTGAATAGAATTCCAGTTGCTTAAGAAATAATGCCAACAGGCCGGATGTGGGGGTGCACACCTTTGATCCCAGCACTTGGGAGGCAGAGGCAGGCAGATCTCTGTGAGTTCCAGGCAAGCCTGGTCTACATAGCAAATTCCAGGCCAGCTGAGGCTACAGGGAGACCCTGTCTCAAAAGAGATGGGAAAAAAAAAAAAAAAAGCCAACAAATCACCAATGAAACTTCATGAAATCAAAAAATTTCTGCACAGCAAAAGAAACAATTAAATGAAGAGACAGCCTGCAGAATGGAAAACCTTTGCTAGTTATACACCTGGCAGAGGATTTGTACCCAGAATTAAAAAAAAAAAAAAAAACCTTAAATAACAAGATATCAAGCAACCCCATTAATAAATGGGATAATGAAATAAACAGAGTTCATAAAAGATGAAGTACAAAATGGACAATAAATATGTGAAAAATTGTTCAATCTTACTAGCCATCAGAGAAGCGTAAATTAAAACTCCCTTAACCCAGTCAAAAGGACGGTCATTAAGAAAACATTTAACAGGGCTGGAGAAATGGCTCAGTGGTTAAGAGCACTGGCTGTTCTTCCAGAGGACCTTAATTCAAGTCCTAGCACCTACATGGCAGCTAACAACCGCCTATAACTCCAGTTCCAGGGAATCTGACACCCTCTTCTGGCCTCTGCAGGGCACTGCATGCATGTGGTGTGTTTATATACATGTAGGCAAAACATTCGCATACATAAAATAAAAATAAATAAAATATTTTTAAAAAGAAAGAAAACAAGATGCCGGGTGCTGTTGTGCACACCTTTAATCTCAGCCCTCAGGAGGCAGAGGCAGAGGAAGGTAGATTTCTGTGAATTCAAGGTTAGCCTGTTCATATCAAGTTCCAGAACAGTTAGGGCTACACAGTAAGATCCTGGCCTGCCTTGCTGTCTTACCTGCATGATGTCAATGGCCATGGCCTGCGTCTGGACTCCCTCCACATTGTTCATCAGCCAGTGTACCACCTCAGCACTGATGAAGCAGCACGGAGAGAGTCCTTTCTGTTCCGAGAGCAGCTGGATTCCTGTCCTGGGTTCCAATGCAGTGAGCAGTGTGTGGGTGCCCAGTGGCAATAAGCAGAAAGAAAAGGTGAGGAAGTAACTCCCACAAAAGCATTTACTGTCTGAAGGGAGGACCCCATAACGCAATTTCTTTATGCAATTCTTAAGAGAAATCCCCAGAGCAGGATAGAAGGGGTGGGAGGAGAGGGAACACTGAACTTTGTCAGGCATTGTACTAGGAACTTCACCTAAAAATTTCACTTAATCATTTCATTAACCAAGTGATTAAAGACTCATGGTAAGCCAGGCATGGTGGCACACACCTTTAATCCCAGCACTTGGGAAGCAGAGGCAGGCAGATCTTTGAGTTCAAAGCCAGCCTGATCTACATAGTGAGTTCCAAGCCAGCTGGGGCTACTACAGGGAGACCCTGTCTCACAAAGAAAAAATAAAAAGACTCATGGTAAATGTCAGGTGTGGTGGTGCAGGCCTTTAATTCCAGCAAAGGACCAGCTTCGTCTTCATAGAGAGTTCCAGGCCAGCTGGGGCTATAGGAAGACCCTGTCTCAAGCCCACTCCACGCCCCTCCCCAAAGAATCCTAAAACAAAACTCATGGTAAGGGCTGGCAAGATGCCTAAGCAAGTAAAAGTGCCTGCCACCAAGCCTGATGACCTGAGTTCGTGTCCCAGGACCTACATGATAGAAGGAGGGAACTGACTTCTGTAAGTTGTCCTCTGACCTCCACATACATGCTATGGCACACAAGCCTCCCCTACACCACAACAAATAATAAATAAATTGTATGGTGCTGGAGAGATTGCTCAGTGGTTAAGAGCACTGACTGCTCTTGCAGAGGACCTGGGTTTGATTCCCAGTACCCACATGGCGGCTACAAACCGTCCTTAACTTCAGTTCCAGGGGAATCTGAGGCCCTTTTCTGACCTCTGCGGCATTGCACTACACGGGTGCACTCACATACATGCAGGCAATTTTAAAAATAAATAAATAAATTGTAAAAAAGGTCTCTCCAGTCCCAGCTTGTACTTTTTTAAAATATTTTTTGTGTGTCTGTGAGTGTGAATACACATGTACCATGGAGTGTGTGTGGACGTCAGAGGACAATTTTATGGAAGCAGTTCTCCTTCCACTATGTGGGTTCTGGGGATCAAACTCAAACCATCAAGCTTGGGGGCAAGTGCCTTTACTCTTGAGCCACTTTGATTTTATCATTTCAACTGCTGCTTTGGGCAGGGAGGAATGAACCCAAGGCCTTGTAGTATGCTCAGCATAAGCCCAGCAAGTTGTGTTAATGATCCTAGTCAGTCTTAGTTCCCCAATGCCTGACTTGGAATTAACAGTCAATTGAAATACTGTCATTTTGAGGCAGGATCTTGCTATGCAGCCCAGGCTAGCCTTGAACTCATAATCCTGCCTCAGTCTCCCAAGCCTCCAGATCATAGGCTTGTCCCACTATACTCAGCTCAACTGAATTTTGTACTGAGAAGCCTCTCAGTCTTAACAAAGGATATAAATACACAGGCAGTATAAAGGTATATGAATGTACATGGAGTACAGCAAGAACATCCCTGTTCCACCACAACAGAAAACATGGATCCTAGGAAGAGCATTTGGAACCAGGTAGTAGGGGCTAGTTAATAAAGGGGCTTGGAGGGACCGAAGAGTTGGCTTAGCGGTGAAAAGCACTGACTGCTACTGCAGAGGATCCAGGTTCAATTCCTAGCACCCACATGGCAGCTAACAACCGCGCTAACTCCAGTTAGTTCCAGGGGATCCGACACCTTCTTCTGACTTCCAAGGGCATTCATTGCATGACACAGGTGCACTTACACACATGCAAGAAATACACTCATGCACATTAAAAAAAAAAAATTAAGCCGGGCGTGGTGGTGCACGCCTTTAATCCCAGCACTCGGGAGGCAGAGGCAGGCGGATCTCTGTGAGTTCAAGGCCAGCCTGGTCTACATAGTGAGTTCCAGGACAGCTGGGGCTACAGGGAGACCCTGTCTCAAAAAGATAAAAACAAAAATCCCCTTGTACAAATAACATAGCAGAGGCTCAGAGAGGTCAAGTAACTTGTCCACAGTCTTACAGTCTCACAGCTGGTGAACAAGAGTAAGGCAAAAATCTACCCAACCATACCACCATGGCAAAAGCCTGCCTTCAGGTACCTTCTGCCCTTGCACCATAAATGTGATGAGTCACTTACGAGGGGTGCTTCATGGCTTCAAGGATCTCCATCAGGGTAGAGGATGATGTCAGAGAGCTTGCCATCTGCTGTTGAGAGCTATAACATAGAACATAGCAAGGCAACAAGGCATATATATGCCAGGTGTTGCATGCATGTTGAAAGCATGAATATTATGATCTCTACTTTTCTTCAGTGCTGTGGATGGAACCCAGGGCCCCATATGCACTAAGCAGGTGCTCTGTCTCTAAGCTACACCACCAGTCCACATAATCTCTACTTCTTGTGGAACCAGAAACCAGGACAATCAGAAAAATATTGAAACTAAAGGTGTTCAAGTAAATTCTGGACAGTTATATCCTGAGGTTATTTTATAGTGTTTTCCTTTTCCAAAGTACGTATACACAGTAAACACATTTAAGAAATGCAAAGTAAGGGGCTGGGGAGATGGCTCAGTGGTTGAGAACACTGGTTGTTCTCACAGAAGACATGGGTTCAAATCCTAGCACCCACATGGCAGCTAACAACTGTCCGTAACTCCAGTCCCAGGGGATCCAACAGCCTCTTGTGTCCTCCACGGGCATTGCACAACATGGGTGCAACTTACCTACATGCAGGCAATACATGCATACACATAAAATAAAAATAATAAAATATTTTTAAAAAAGAAATGCAAAGTGGTTTTGTAACTAAACACACCCACCCTTTTAATAGTGTTTCTATTTATTTATTTAATTTATAGCTTTTTTGAGATGTCTCCCTATAGCTCCAGCTGGCCTAGAACTTACTATGTAGGCCAGTCTGGCCTTGATCTCAGAGATCCTCCTGCCTCCAAGTGCTGGGATTAAAGACACATGCCACCATGCCCAGCTTCTTTTTTATTTTTATTTATTTACTTATTTATGTATTTATCTATTTGTATGTGTGTATGTATATGTGTGTGTCTGTGTCTGTGTCTGTCTGTGTGTCTGTGGAGGCCAGAGGAAGGAGTTGGAGCTCATGGAGGTGGAGTTATAGGCAGCTGTGAGCTGCCTAAGATGGCTTCTAGGAACCAAACTCTGGTTCTCTGGAAGAGCAGCAAGTGCTGTTAACTACTAAGTCATCTCTTTAGTCCCATTAATAATATGTTTCAAGGGCTAGAGAGATGGTTCAGCAGTTACTACTTTTAAAGAGGCCCAAGGTTTAGTTCCCAGTACCCGCATGGTGGCTTACAACCTCCTGTAACATCTCCAATGCCCTCTTCTCACCTCTGAGGGCTCCTGTACACAAATGGTGCACATATATATACTCCGGTACACACACATATAAAATTATATATATATATTTCAAGTCTAACCATTTCCAAGAAGGTTCCTTAGACTGATTTTGCCCAATGGCCTCACACATGTCATTTATTTAATCTTGACCAACCAAAGAGTGCTATGCAACTGGGTAATAATTTTAGGTCAGAGCTTGAGAGAGAAAATGATGGAATTTTTGTTAATGAACTGTAGAACCTCTGGATTGTCTTGGTCTTTGTTTTATCATCCAAAAAATAGGAATTAGTGTTATTCCTGTCTTTCAGGGTGCTATGGAGCTAATGAATGTAAAACTAGATACAGGACTTCAATTCTTTCAAACTCAGATTAGTTGAAGGAACCAGTGAAGGTCTAAGAGTTGGAAACCTGGATGTGGATGTGCATTTAAGTCAATTATATTCCAAAGTCCTAATCATTCTACCTGAGGCATCCCAAGCTCTGCTGTAAAGGTATGACAGTGTCTTAAAACAGGCTTAAACTGCATCAGTAAGATGGCTCAGTGATTAAAGATATTTGCTGCCAAGCCTGATAATCTGAGTTTAATTCCTTTTTGTTTATTGGTCTTTTTGAGGCAGGGTTTCCCTATACCCTCCCTCAGCTGGCCTGGAATACACTATGTGGACCAGGCTAGACTCAATCTCACAGAGATCTGCCTGCCTCTGCCTCCTAAGTGCCGGGATTAAAGGCGTGCACCACCACATCTGTCTCCTGAGTGCAATTTCTGAGACCCACAAGGTGAAAAGAGAGAACCAACTCCTGTAAGTTATCTTCTGATACCCACATCTCTCCACACCCACAAAATAAATAAATGAATCTTTTTAAAAGAAAAAAAGGACATGTTTTACAGTTGTGATGATGTATTCTTGTGAATCCAGCATTCTAGAGACTGAGGCAAGAAGATCACTAGTTTGATGTCAACCTGGGCTCAATGGAAAAGACCTGTCACAGGGAAAAAGAGAGATGAGAGAGAAGGAAGAGGGGCAGAAGAAGAAGAAGAAATAATAATAATCTAGATGAAAAAAAGGAGCTTAACATTACATCTAAGAGGCCCAACCACACCAAACCAGTCAGTCTAGGGCTTAATAAGAAACTCTTCAACCTTTTCTTGCTTTCATGCCACAGTCTTCTATGTGCCTATTTGGAAAGTACAGGATTCAACACAGCATTTCAGAATCTCAAGGGTGGGCTAGGTGGGTGGCTGGGTGGTATAGCATTTGCCTGACATCCATGAGGCCCTGGGATAATCCTCAGCACCAAGTCAAAATCCTAAAACTAAAAATCTCCAGGTTAGAAAAAGCCTTCAAAAACCTTTAGAATGAACGTCCTTCTAATCCCAAGTCTCTGCTGAGTCCAAGTGTTTAGTCAAGAGGCTGTCCTTGCTTCCTGAATGCCTTCAAAGGTGAGAACTCAGCTTCTCCAGTGCAGCAGTACCCGTTGCTAGTAAGCGCCTAATCAGAAAATGGAATGTGTTCTCCGTAATTTTCAATCACTGGTCCTGCTTCCGCCTACCATGTCATTTTTCTCACCTCCAGCCTAAATGCCCCCAGTTCTTCTTTCTTCCAAAAGCAGAAGAAAATCTGTTTCTCTATGTTTGTGAGTAATGAGAAAACACATAGATGGAGGCCCCTCATGTGCAGTGGGCAGGCCCTTCAATCTCCATGGCTATAGCCAAAAGCCAGCCAGGTGTGATGAGGCTTGAGCCTGTGAGAAGTCTCTGTGAACGATCACCTTTACTGGCCAGAATGAAGATGCAGTGGTGGAGGTGGCAGGGACAAAATCAGTGTTGAAGGGAACAGAGACTCTGCTGACAGGGTCAGCCAGAAGAAGCCAAGCACTGTCTGCTCTCAGGGAAAGGGGTGTATACACCAAGTTTCTTAGATCATTTAGGCAAGATCTGCTCAGTCAGTACAGTGAGTCAGTAAGAACAGATTGGGTATAATTATTATAAAGCAAATAGCCCAGAAGAAAATAAAAAAAAGAAGTCTCTCAAAACTGACGACGGCATTAAAAGCCAGGGTACATCACCCCATAAACATATACAATTATTATGTGTTCTTTTTGTTTTTTGTATATCTTTTATTGATTTTTTTGGGGGGGGTCTTTTTGAGACAGGGTCTCCCTGTAGCCCCAGCTGTCCTGTAACTCACTATGTAGACCAGGCTGGCCTCGAACTCACAGAAATCTGCCTACCTCTGCCTCCTGAGTGCTAGGATTAAAGGCTGTACCACCATGCCCAGCCTTTTATTGAACTTTTTAGTATTTCATACACATCTTAATCATCTTTATAACTCCTTCCTCATCAGTACTCTCACATGCATTCTGTCATTTATGTTAAGGTCTATTGAGCCAAGTTAGTGTCCCCAGATGTCCTTCAGTGCAAGTTCAACCACTCTTCTGACCTCCATGGCACGGCATGATACAGGTGCACTCAAAAACAGGTAGACAATACATTCATACACATAAAAGAAACATAATAAATAAAAGATATATTTTAAAAATTATTATGTGTGTGTGTGTGTGCATCCAAGTCCCATGGAGTTACGTGTGGAAGTCAGAGGACAACTTTGTGGACTCAGTTCTCTCTACCTTAATGTGGGAATGGAATCCAAGTCATCAGGGTTGCACAGCAAGTGCCTTCACCCACTGAGCCATTTTAGCGACCCTACATTATGTTCTTGAAGAAGTTGGGGCAGTTGCTAAGTAAATGAGGTATAAGCAGCACCTTTTCCTCAGGAACAAGAAAAGAAAGGCCTCATTTAGCTGCATTGTATGACTGTTAGTTCATTTCTTTACTGACTATACATTATCTTGTGGAGGGCATCATGCCACGAGCACCACCATGAACAGGACCCACATGGTCTCACCCTCCTTTGTGAAACCCTGACTTCAACACAGTGTCTGACACTTTCCCAAATCTCTAAGAAAATCTCTCCACTATCCTGTGAGGAAAGTAGAACACAGATCTTTAGCCTTACCACACAATTGTGGGTGCAGACGGACTTGTCCAGGGTTCCACGTATGATTTGTAGCAGTCAGAACTTAGCCCAGAGCTTTAGATTCCCAGCTGCTACACCCATAGTTAAACTCTCCCCAACCCACAGAAGCACAAAACGGCCATTCTGAAGCTTACCTGCTGTCATTGGAGTTTGCAGAGGGAAAAACCTGTTCTCCTATGTTCTGGGAATTCCCAAAGGTCTGACTGCTGCCTCTATCCACCAACTGGCCTGTGCTTATGCTCAAACTGTTGCCATCCACCACCAGAGCAGCTGTTTGGTCCACAGATGCCTGTAGGAGAGTAAAAACTTAGTACCAGGATCCAAGAATAACCAAAAAGGAAACATAGGAAACAAACTGCCCTGGTTTATGAACTCAACAGGCATTTCATACATGCTCTCTCATACACTGAAGTTTCCATTCCTCCCATTCTCAATCCCCATTAATTCCAGACGGAAGAGCCAAAGGAGTACAGACTGCACCCAGTCATGTGTGCACTACCTTGTCAGAGCAATTGAGGACTCCCATCCTCTAAACCAAGGCAAACAGAAGGCAGTCAATTGCAATAATCTCTAAAACCAAATAAATCACTTCAGTACCAGACTCAAACCACAAGACTGACACTGAAGAAAACTCCCCAAAGAGAGGGCACAGAAGTCAGAATTGTTCCTTATGAAACTGGGTGGAAAGGGAGAAAACACATGGGGGGAGACAAACGGGTGACCATCACAGCAGGCTCTCCCCCCTCATCCTTGGCCACCCCAATCCTTTCTCGGATCCATCAGCGATCGATTCAGCTTTCTGACAGCCCAAGTTCAAATCTCTGAGGTTTCTGACAGTTCTCTTCTCTAGCTCCGTATCCTGAGAGGCCTGGTCCCCTGGCTTCCCCAGGTAGATTCACATGCTTACCTTTCCTCTGGGAAGGCTGAAACAGTATCCTAACTGTCTTATAATTATAGCCTTTCCCCTGAAAACCGTGAGCCATTTTTAATTGTATCTTCCTAAAAAACAGTTCCAGGCCCATTACTCTTGTTACTTTGAAATTTTACATTTCCCCATGAGCTACTACACTGAGACCTATGATTTCAACACAACATTAATCAGTCACCAAGTCCCCCATTCCAGAGAAATCAAACCCTGTTTGTATAATCCTGTAAGTTCTGTTATTCTGTGGTTCCTTCCCCTACAACCACTAGCTAAAAAACCCATCTTGAAGGGCCATGTCAAGGGCTGATCCCTTAATGTTTCCTGATTAACTCCATCCCAGCCCCCAAGAATTAGACTTTGATGAGCCTGCTGAAGCAACTTCCAGGTTTTGGCTCATAAAAGTGTTATGTCTGCTAACTCCTTAAGGGTTCCAGAGTACAGGACTATAATCCTGCTCACCTAAAATCCCTGCAGCATCCACTAAAGGCTATATTCCAGAGTGAAAATTTACAAAGTACTTCTAAAAAAATCTAAAAGTCTTAACTTACAGTTCTTGGATACTACTTCCAGAATAAAGCCTTCTATTATCAGATATTTCATTAGATGATGTGAATATTGCTTTTTCTGAAATAGGGCTTATCAATCTGTGCACTATTGCCATTTAGGATCAAATAAGTCTCATTCATAAGGTGCTGGTCTATGCATTATAGGATGCTGAGCAACACCCCCATTCCTATACATTAGATGCCAATAACACCACACCTATCATCCTCCCACCCCCAGATGTGACAAAAATGTCTCTAGATATTACCAACTATCCCTTGAAAGATAAAATTCCCCCTGGGTTTAGAAGAACCATGGTGCTCTCCCACAGCAGGCTCAATGATTTGCCAGAAAAAAGGCCACATAGGCTTTGCTGGTTCCATAAAATCCCAGAGAAGTACAGCAAGAGGCAGCTTGCAATTACCAGTCACCATCTGTGCACAACTAAGGCTTAGGAACAGGTACCATGCTCTAACATTAAATCAGAACAAGCTAACTGAGGGAGCCTGGGCCAGTCGTTATCACAAGAGTAGCTCATAAGGCCTGCCTTCTAGAACCTATAGTGGTTTCTTACTCATTGAGGTGCCCTGAAAATCATTCTCCCAGTCTGAGAGGTTCTTCTGGTAGAGATGTGGTTAAAGAGCCATCCTCTAAATTAGGAATTGGAAAACATTTTCTGTCAAGGGCCCGATATGAAACAAATTAGGTTTTGTGGGTCACATCAATTGTGTTAAAACTATTTAATCCTTCACAAGAAAGTACTTAAGCAGCTGTATACAACATGCAACTGAAAAACCAAAGCCAAGCAAACTACTAAAGACAAAACAAACAAAAAGCTGGGTATGGTGGCACACCCCTGTAATCTCACCACTACACTCTGCATGTAGTAGCTCATGCAGAGGCAGGAGGATCAAGAGTTCAAGACTACCCTTGGCTACATAGTGAGCTCCAGGCCAGCCTAGGATACATGAGACTTTGTCACAAAAACAATCAAACAAAAGAAGACAACATATAAATGAGTAGATGTGGCTGTTTCAGTAAAAGTTTATTTATAGAAGCAAATGCTGGGCCAGATTTGTCCCATAATTGCCTGGCTTTGGCTCTGAATCACATGTCTTTCATGAGTGCATATTTTGCTTTAATCTTATTATCTGAAAAAGTTATGTTTCTCCTGAAAACTTGATTTGTCTTTATTTTCTGACCACTCTGAATCTTGGAAGATGTTTTCCAAACTTCTTTGGCTTTCTGAAGCTCAGAACTGAATTTAGCATAAAATTCTAGATACAAAGTCTCATTTTATACCCTATATTGCTTTTTCAATTTCCCTCATCTAGGTATATTTTTATTCTGAAAACTGTATTTACTTCTACAATCTACCTAAAGTAATTTTTAAAATTTTAGGTAGGGTCTCACTATGTAGCCCTGGCTAGCCTAGAACTTGCTATGTAGATAGACCAAGCTGTGCAGAGATCTACTTGCCTCTGCCTCCCAAGTGCTGGGACTAAAGGTGTGCACCTGGCCACCTAAAGTCATTCTTTGAAATAAGAATAATGGTTTTAAAAAATAATAAAAGACTAGCTAGATCAGATGGACAGAACTGTCAGAAACCGAGGAGAGAGTGGAGGGAGATGCTAGTCTATAATGCATTTCATCCTAACAACCAAATTCAAATTCTCCCTACAGAGGGATTCCATCTAACATACGTACAATCCTCTCCCCCAACTCTTTAGAGTGGACTAAACTTAGTGACTTGCCTCCAAAGAAAGGAAAAATGGGGAAAAACAGTAATATTACAGTAGAGACAGCTGGCACATATGAAGGTTACCATCACAGGAAGGTCATTTGGATCTTGAGTACCCCCATATGACATGATGAAAAGAGCACTTCACTTCTAAGGTACTTTTAAAAACATGGAACTCAGGCTGGAGATGTAGCTTAGTTGGTAGAGTGCTTGCCTAGCATGCACAAGTCCTTGGATTTTTGTTTTGTTTTATTTGAAATGGATTTCATTCTGTTTGCCCAGGCTAGTCTAAACAATCGGGCTGTAGTGATCCTCCCATCTGGGCCTCCCTAATAGCTAGGCACTATAAGCATGTGCTACCATGTCCTACTTAAAAAGTCTACTTTTAGACACATCGTGTGAGACTCCCTAGAAAACTCACTTGGAGATTCCAGAACACTGCTGCCCTAACACATTCTGCAGAACCTTGAATCTCTGGGGCCATCATAGATTTTAATAAGCTGGTGCTATGAGTCTTCTCCAGCCCTTAACTAGAAGGGTCCCACATTTATATTTCAGGTTTGATACAAATTATCAGGCAGCAGGGGGAAAGACCATAGCAACAGTTTTGCAACTCAGTAAACTCATGGGACTTCTCTCTTTCAGGAAGTCTAATCTGCTGCAACCCCACAAGGAGAGAATCAGTATCAGGTCCCATTTGCAGATGAGAAATCCATGGTTAGGAGAGGTTACTACAGCTGGCAAATGTAAATAACCAGTTGGTGGAGGGATATGGAAGCCAGATGTGGTAGCATACCCCTGTAATTCTAGCACTCAGGAGGCAGAGGCAGGAGAATGAGGAGTTCAAGGTCAGCCTGGTCTATACAGTAAGTTCCAGAGGGTTATATAGTAAGACCCTATCTCAAGAAAGAAAAGAAGGGCCTGGAAAGACAGCTCAGGGGTTAAGAGCACTGGCTGATTTTACAGAAGACCTGGTTCAATTGTCCAGCACCCACAGGGCGGCTAACAACCATCCTTAACTCCAGTCCAGAAGATCCAACACCCTATTCTGGCCTCGATGGGCATTGCATGACATGGGTGCACTTACATACATGTAGGCAATACACTCATACCCATAAAATAAAAATAATAAATAAAACATTAAAAAAAAAAGAAAGAAAGAGCAAGTAGGACTCATTGAACTCAGTGGGCTACTAAGAAAAAGACACCAAGTTGGGAGTGGGATATGGGTGGAGACAAATCTGGGAGGAGGACAAGTCTGGCAGTGAAAATAGCTGACCAATACATTGTATCCATATATGAAGAGGTTACTAAAGAATAAAATTAAAAGGAAAGCAAGAGTGGTAGGGAGCCCAGCACCAAGGTCCACACACTGGCAGTCTTTAAACAGGTAGTCCTCTTTGTTTTAAGAGTTTCCTACACATTCTTTATATTTTCTAGTCCTATACTAAGGTGGAGAGGAGAGGGCACTAATTAAAAAAAAAAAAGATGCATTAAGTTGACATAATTAGGCATCAATACCAATATTTTCCCTTGGGATCTGTAGGGGGTTGGTGCCAGGACCTTATGCCCCAACAAACAAAATTCCACAGATGCTCAAGTCTCTTAGATTAAATGGTATATTATGGGCATATAACCTATGCAAATCCTCCTATATACTTTCACATGCCAAACCTTTGACATTGAAACACTGTATCATCATCTATAAAGTCACTCAAGAATCATGTAGTCAACAAAACAAACAAAAAAAACCTTTTAATCTAATAATGTTTTGAGTTTCTGATTTGGTATTGGGATACATTCACAGCTACCGTGCAGTACATGGAGCCCACTGGTCACAGGTTGGACACACTGGCATACATTTAAATCTGCTACGAAAATAACTGTTATGCTGCATTGTTTAGGGGATAAGCTCAAAAAAAGTCTGCACACATTAATTCTAAACATAGCTGGTGCTGTGTACTGGCTACCTACCCAGCACCATGCTATTCATTTATGTATGCATAATTAGAAGTGTACTAATTTACAACTATATGGGTATTTTCTATTTATTTAATTTTATTTATTATTTTATGTGTATGCATATATTGCCACATGTAGGTAAGTGCACTTGTGTCATTCAATGCCCACGGAGGTCAGAAGAGGCTGTCAGATCCCTGGGACTGGAGTTATGGACAGTTGTTAGCTGACATGTGGGTGCTGGGATTCGAACCTGGGTCTTCTGCAATAACAACCAGTGTTCTTAACTGCTGAGCCATCTCTCCAGCCCATATTTATTGTTTTTAATCACTGATATTGTTTACATGTGGTCAGAAATACTCTTGTTATGATTTCATTTCTCAATAATTTGTTGAGAAACATGTACTATTTTCTAATATTAAAAATGACCCCAGTTTAGCTGGGTGTGGTGGCATACACCTTTAATCCCAGCATTCAGGAGGCAGAAGCAGCCTGGTCTCCACAGCGAATCCAGGCCAGCTAGGGCTACAGGGAGACCTTGTCTCAAAAAGACCAAAAAAAAAAGACCCCAGTTTAAATCAAATTACTCTTTCTTCTTATAATGAAGAAACTGGGCTTCCAAAGCTTAGTACTAAAGCACATCTCCGGTACAGCACCGAAGATTGGAAAGTAGCCTTCTTATTTCACTGCATTTTGGAAAACAAATGACATTTCATGTTTTGTATAGCTTATAGTAATAAAGGAAGAATAAAGGTAGGGTTTAATTTTGTGTACAGAGAGCTCCCTTCCTACCTCTGATATGAATTGAGTATTCACTCATCTTTTTACAATACGCCTGGTGGGCAAGATAAATATTCATTCATGTGCTGCTCTTCTGAAGACTCATCTCTATATCTATTCTCAGTTGTGGGAACTAGTCCATTTTTCTTTTACAGGTAAATTTTACCACATAAAGTAGCTTATAGGATTGCTAAACAACTAACTCTCTTCCAACTCTGTTCACTTTTCTAACATTAAATTCTAAGTCTAAGCCGGGTGTGGTGTTGCACATCTCTAATCTCAGCACTTGGGAGGCAGAGGCGGGGGATCTTTGTGAGTTTGAGGTCAGTTACATATGGTCTACATATGGAGTTCCAGGACAGCTGGGGCTATAAGGAGACCCTGTCTCAAATAAAGGGGAGGGGAGGGGAGGGGAGAAGAGAAAAGAGAGAGAGAGAAAGAAAGAAATGAAAAAAAAACTTCTAAGTCTAAAACCTCAAACAGGAGTCTCTTACAAGAGGGGAGGGGAGGGGAGGAGAGGAGAGGGGAAGAGAAAAGAGAGAGAAAAGAAAGAGAAAGAAAGAAAGAAAGAAAGAAAGAAAGAAAGAAAGAAAGAAAGAAAGAAAGAAAGAAAGAAAGGAAAGAAAGACAGAAAGAGCAAAAGTTCAAGGTTAACCTGGGCTCTTGTGTAAAGTGGAAGGAAGGAAGGAAGGAAGGAAGGAAGGAAGGAAGGAAGGAAAAAATACTGTCTAAAACCTCAGTAAAGAGTCTCTTACAAGAAAGTAAAAGACTAAAAGAATCAACCTATTTTAACAATACAGTGTACCTCCTATACTCAGAGGTGAGAGATGTTTGGCTTAGACTTCTGGTCCTGACAGGAATTTGCACCTAGTCATGCAGTTCACAAGTAAGAGCAGGTTTCAGACACCTTAAGACTTACAGACAGGTACGGCAACCTCTGGTCTAAGAAAAGCAAGACTCCAATGGAAATTAAACCTTACTCTTTCTCTCAGAATAGGACCAGGGACAGAGGTTCAGCCACTCACTAGTGTAGTGTCCTTTGACCACCAATCCCTTTAAGTCTCACTTTTCTCATGTGGAAGTTGGGGTAGGCTGTTTTATAGGTTGTCACAAAGATTGTGTTTCAAAGTCCTAGCAAAGTGGAACTGAGTAAATGTTGGTTTTTGACTTCCACTAAATAAGGACCCCTTAACTTTTGCCCTTATTACTCCCAGGATCCCACCCTCTTCAGTCAGACCCACTCTGCATAAACCTTGTTTACTCTTCCAGATCTCTGTAACTAGTTCTTTATACCTGGGTCAATTTCATGTAGTACTTAAACGTCTTCATAAAGAGCAGGGAGTCCTATTTCCTTCACCAAAGACCAGTCCAAACAGTAATAACTAACACTAAGTACATAGTGGGTCTTGAGTCAAACCTACAGATCTGGATTTAAATCTTAGCTCTACTCTGTAGTGCAGAAATAAACTTCTTTGTCCTGCAATTACTCCATTTATAAAACTGGAACAAAAACTTTTACTTAACCCATAGGTTAAGGTATGAGGTGAAATGAGATAATACATGTGCTTAGCGTGCAGTCATTGAGAATTTTAAGGTCTGGAAGGCCCTCAAAAGATCTAATCCAAACCTTTCATTGGACAAATAAGTTAAGTGAAGCCCAGAAAGTAGGCAAGCTGCCCAGAGCCACACACCAGAGCCTATGACACAGCATATTTGCCTATTTATAAATGTTAGCTGTTTCTTTTTACCACTTCTGGCCATACTGTTATAAATTTATTAGGCTGCACTGGGAGGAGAAAAATAAGTGTTTAGTCCTTAAATATACACATTTCATGTTGCTTATAAAACTTAGAAGGGAGCCAGGCATGGTGGCACACAGCTTTAATCCCAGTACTCAGGAAGCAGAGGCAGGTGGAGCTCTGTGAGTTCACGGCCAGCCTGGTCTACATAGTGAGTGCCAGGACAGCTGGAGCTACTGAGAAACCCTGTCTCAAAAAGACCCAAAAAAAACAAAACAAAACAAAAAAAAAACTTAGAAGGGCAGATGCTGCACTATGACTGCAGTGAGATTTGCTGCCACCCTGGGAACCATACCAGCAGCAATGACACACACTCGACCAGGTACCGGTCTTTTTGGCTGTCCTCTCACATCAATTTCTCTCATTCCTTTTGTGGCTGTGACCATGGAAACACACCCTAGAAACCTATATCCATTTCAGCTGGCCCTCAAACTCAGATTCAGTCCAATTCCATGTGCTCAGAGGCAAACAGAAGGCCAGCTTGTGGCTTCTGCCAATAGGACTGGCATGCACAGGCTGTAGACCTTGAGTTTGACTAACCTGAGGGTAGAAGGTAGATGATGCTGTGCGTGGGCTGCGGACAAACTCCATAAAGAAGGCCCCGTCCTGAAGTCAGAGGAGGAGGAAGCAACAGCAACAGCAGCAGCAGGTGCAAGGTAGCCAAGAAATGTATACCATTGGGAGGAGAGGAGGATGAAAAACAGTAAATAAACAAATAAAAATAAGGGGGGGGGGAGAAAAAGACACATGAGGAAATGTGGGTGAGGGATGGGGAACAGGGAATGGGAGCAAGATTCACCCAGAAAGACAATATCTAAATGCAAAGCATGGGCAAGAACTCGCATCTCACTCAGCAAAGAAGCACCTATGTGGGCAAAAGCAACCGAGTTAGGTGTGTCCAAGCTCCCTTGAGTGTCCTGAGAGCACGGCTTGAAGCTTTTGCTCTCCCCACATAGCTCTGAAAGCCCTTCAGACCAATAGCAAGAAGAGGAAGAGGTCCCAGAGCAGTGTGCTGGGAATAGCAGGGAAAAGGCTGCAGAGACACCTTGTCCTCCCACCTGGCTAGGTGACAAACAATCCTGAGAGACAGACACTGAGGCCTAAGTTTCCTCTGTTCATTGCTGAATGTGACAGCCAGTGGGGAGAAGAAGAGTCAATGAAAGAAAGTCTTGCTTAATCTTCTGAGAAGACAGGGGGTGCAGAGGCAGCAGTACCTTCTCCTCCACTGCTTGGATAACAAAATCAAGAAACTAAGGCATGCAGAAAGTCAGGTATGTAATTCCTAATGTGAGAGTTTCTTGAAGGTGTCACGCCCTTTCTACTCACATTGAGTTTGAAGCAAAAATGACAAAGAGGACTTTTTCAAAGATCCTCTGACTTTTTAGAATCTTTTTACTTTGCATGCATGACTATCACTGAAATGCAGGAGGCACACCCAAGCAGCTTTCCTTCAATTCTAAAAGTACAACAATTCAAATATTTGGGTGTTTGTTTTAATCACCATTGCTGCTATTTCCCAAAAGTTCCTGCAAACTCAAGCAGCACAGCTTGGAAAGGCAGTACTGTGAAGATGCAGATCCTCATAGAAGTGCTGCCTAGACACATGTGAACAAGGCATCTCTTTTTGCTTCCCCCTCCCTAAACCTGGGGTATACACTCCAAACTGTAGATAGTACTACAGACATAGGGATTTCAGTGTTCACTGTTAAGATCAGGAGAGTACTCTAAACAGCAATCTAGTATTTGGTCTTTAGTGCATATCAACCTTTCTGTAATTTCTCTACTTTCTACCTTGCTCTTGGCACTGTTTCTAATCCTCAGAAATGTTCATGTATAGAGGTAAGGAAAAGGCTGGTGAACATTAGTCCATACCTGACCCTTCCATTCCAACATATGACAGCAGAGGTGCTGATGATGCCGAGATTTATTTATTTACAGGAATGAGATCAGGACAAAACAAACAAACAACAACATTCCCCCCCACCAAAAAGCAACAAAACATTCATTTGCACATAGACTCTCTTGGGACCTACAGCCATTCCTAAGAGCTGGGGGGGTCAGCAAACTACAACTTGCAGACCAGATCTGACCACTGACCTAGTTTTTTATAGCATATGAGAGAAGAATTTTTTGGTTTTTTTTTTTACAGTTTTGAATGGTTACAGAAGTATGTATACAAATAGCCTTATTTTGCCTAAGAAACCTGAAATAAGTATGTAGGTTGCTGACCTTGCAGCTTTGGTTAATAATTTTTCTCAGACTTTACTCCCTCCATCCTTGAAGTATAATTCTAGTAACTTAAAACAAGGAAATAATCAGAGCTGTAATCAGTATTATAAGGAGGTTCATTACACATTATTTATAATTTTATATGTTGTGGATTAAATTTTATAGAATTGTCAGAATTTATCTTGAAAAATGAGAAATCATCTACCTTTTAAACAAAGAAGTTCTAAATTAAAGCATATTCTTATGATGAAATACTATATAACACTGTGTGTGTGTGTGTGTGTGTGTGTGTGTGTGTGTGTGTGTGTGTGTGTGTATTTTATTGGGGATTAAATCCAAAGCCTTGAGTATGTTAAGTGAACCCTCTACCTCTAAGCTATATCCTCAATCCATAGCAATTTGGCTGACTAGACCCCAATGGATGAACTTGCACTGAGGGAAATAAGTCTGGGTATACAAACTTGACAGAATGCATGAAATCTGGTGGAAGGGGCTATAGATGGGGTGTAGATCGGGGGAGGGGGTATAAACATGATTAAGAAATGCACAAAAATTCAATGAAAAATATACATTGAACCAGGTGTGGTGGTGCACACCTTCAATCCCAGCACTCAGGAGGCAGAGTCAGGTGGATCTCTGTGAGTTCAAGGCCTGCCTGGGTCTACATAGCAAGTTCCAGGCCAGCTGGGGCTACAGGGAAACCCTACCTCAAAAAGAACTTTCCTCCCCCACAAAAATATATATACATTGAAAATGGAAATCATGTTTTAGGGATTGGGTTTAGCTCAGTGGTAGAGCACTTGCCTAGCATGTAAAAGGCCCTGAGTTGAATCCCTAAAACCTAAAAAATACAACAACAAAAAAAAACCTTTGAAAAAATATTTAATGACAGGTAAAACTTTTATGATTATTAAAAAAATGAATAAATACAAGATATAAAATTTGGCCCAAATTATGTAACATATGCACTGAATTTCTTTCCTCTCCTAGTAGCAAAGACTAGATAAGAGAGTGCAGTTAGCATACCCTACCACAGAAATGATCTGGATCTGAATTTCCCAGGAGGCCCAGTTGATAGAATCAAGTCTACTGATCTTAAAAGACACAAAAAGCTTGACCTATGGAGTTTTCTGCAGGTCTGCTGTACTTGCTAGGCCGTATAGAAGCCTAAAGCCTCTGGGTTTTGTTTACATTTTTCTCCTGAGAGGATACTCCTGTTTGTCAGCACTTCTCAGGAATCTAAGAAAACTGACAGAAATTCCATTATCAAGAACTCCCAGGCTCTTGTGGACAGTACTTCAGGAATAAGTGTCTGACTCCCCTCTGGTCGAGAGAATGGTGACGCTGAGGGAAGACTGGATGGCAGATTCCAAACTGCAAGTCAGATCTTCAGCCTGAACTAAAACAGTTCTGCTTTACTGTTTCATATGTTACACTTAAGTAGAAATTTGCTTAATCTTGTCGACAGGACAGTTCCTTGAAAAAGGATAATAATATTCTTAAAAGGGTTTGGGGTAGAATTTACCAAAAGCTTCAGCACATTTGAATCTGGATTCATTGCAATCTACTCTATTTCCACACTGGGCTCCTGAGAGCACAAGGCAGCACTCCCCTGCTGAAGGGCCTCCTTTACCTTTCGTGGGCTGTCCATGTAGGTGGGAGTCATAGCAACACTGCCACTCTCGGATGGCTGGGCAGAGCTCTTCCCACCGTGCGAAGCTGACTGCTGTTCTCCTAGGCACCTGAAGGGAGGAAAAACACATGACATTTGCTGAGATCCCTAGAGAAGGATCCAAGTTAGTCAGTGTGAAGATAGCTCTGTTGTTATCATCTCTGAAACATGTACTTCTGCCTTGCTTTTCCTTCAGGCCCCACATGACACCCTTAATATCATTAAATTGTCTTGAACAACTAGTACTCCACAGTATTTCAGAAAAACAGCCCCGTTTAAAAAATATTTTGGAGCCTATGATGGTAGATGCTCTTTTTTCTCAATTTTATTTTTTTTTATTTTATGTCTATGTGTGTATTGCCCGCAAATAGGTAAGTGCACCCATGTCGTGCAACACCCACGGAAGTCAGAAGAGGCTGTTGGATCCCCTTGAACTGGAGTTATGGACAACTGTGAGCTGCCATGTGGGTGCTAGGATTCGAACCCGGGTCTTTTGCAAAAACAACCAGTGTTCTTAACTGCTGAGGACAGATGCTTTTAATGCCAGCATGCAGGAGGCAGAGGCAGGTGGATCTCTGTGAGTTCAAGGCTGGTCTGATCTACATAGTGAGTTCCAGGCCAGCCAGGGCTACACAGGGCTTCCCTGTCTCAAAAAAAAAAAAAAAAGAAAAAAAATTCAAGGGCTCAGTATATATAGTTCAGTAGTAAAGTGCTTGCTCAGCATGTACAAGGCCATGTGCTCAGTTCCCCCATAAATTACCTGTGAACTCCTGTACGTTGCTCTCATACATCATCGTATTATTTGGTAAGCTTCAGAGACTCCTACCAGAGTCTTAAGTGCTTTATCATCACTGTACTATGAAGAGAATCTTCACTAGTGCCTGTGAGGCACTATGACCCATGTGGATATTCCCCAGGTCTGTGACATTCATATCTCCTATGCAACAGCACAGTGTCTCCCATATGCATTATTTATTTGTTTTATTTATTTTCAATTTATGTGCATGAGTGCTTGCCTGCATGTATGTACATATACCACATGTGTGTCTGGTGCCTGGAGATGATTTAAGCTGCCATGTTGATACTGGGAACCAAACTCCAGTCCTCTGCAAGAGTAACAAGTGCTACTCTGCAAGAGTAACAACTGCTGAGACATCTCTCCAGCCCCACCCTCCCCACCCCCTTTATTTTTTGAGTCAGGGTGTCATGCAGCCCAGGCTGGCCTCAAATTTGCTAGGTAGCTGAGGATTACCTAAAACTCCGGATCCTCTTCCTTTTTCCTCCCCAGAGCTGAATTATAGGTATATGTTACCATGCCTGTTTTTTTTTTTTTGGTTTGTTTGGTTTTTTTAAATCTTTAAACCATCTCTAAATTACTTATGATACCCAACATATTATACAGAATTATTTAGGGGACAAGAAAAATGCCTATACATGTTTAGTACAGATACAAATAAAAAAAATTTTTTTACATTTATTTTGTGCTGGGGCTGAGAGGGAGGGCGCTCATGCCACAACAAGCATGTGGAGGTCAGAGGACAATCTGGTTTTTGTGGTTGTTGTTGATTTGTTGTTGTTGTTTTTCTAATAAGGCCTCTCTACTCCCAGCCCACCCCAAAATCACCGTGTGAACCAGGCTGGCCTTGATCTTGCAGAGACCCACCTGCCTCTGCCTCCCTAGGGCTGGGATTGAAGGCCTCAGGCATCAGAAGACAATTGGGGAGAGCCAGTCCTCACCTTCCACTATGTTGCTTCCAGGGAACTCAGGTCATCAGGCTTGGAAGTATCTTTACCTGCTAAGCCCTCTTGCCACCTCTGACTCAAGTTTTCTCAGGAATATTTTAGAACTGTGGGTGAGTGAATCAATTTACAAAAGCAGCACCCACAGACATGGAGGATCAATTATATTGCTGCAGTGGGCAATTCAAAGCCAGATCCTTTAGCTGTGGTCTTTTTACTTTGACAGCTGGGAGCACTGTGGGCTGTTGGTCCATTCAGGGGCAGCCCCAACTGCAGAACAGCCTGGTCTGAGCTCATGGCCCTCCCCTGAGTAGCCAGTCAATGAATGGGGTATGTGTGTGTGTACAGGCCTTACTGTGTTAGCCCAACCCAGCTTCTCTTGAAAGGCTATACCACCTAGCTGCAGTGCTCACTTACAGTCAGTCCCCTGAGGCTGTCACTGGATATGTGACTCAGTACAGTGCCCAACCCTGTTTCTTCCCACTTCCTCCCAGAGGTGCTGAACACAAGGATGCTAAATTCTATCTTGGTCTACTTCCCTGGGAACCTAATCTGTAACATTTCTCATATTCTGATTGTGTGTGTGTGTGTGTGTGTGTGTGTGTGTGTGTTTTGGTTGCAGGGGATCAAACCCATGCCCTTGGGGCTAAAGAGATGGCCCAGTGGGTTCGAGTCGCAAAACCCATATGATGGCTGTCTGTAACTCCAGTTCCAGGAGATCTGACACCCTCTTCTGGCCTCCATGGGCATTGTACAACATGGGTACACTTACATAAATGCAGGCAATACATTCATACACATAAAATAAAAATAAATAAAATAAATTTTTTTAAAAACCTATGCCCTTATTCATGGTATAGCGAATGCTGTTCCATTAAACTACATCTCCAGACCAAATTCTAATATTTTTTTAACCTGACTCTAAGATAATTTTTACCAAGAGGTAAAAATCTCCATTTTATTTTTTTCTTGGAGACCAAGTTTCACTATGCAATCTAGCCTTGAACACTTGAGGTCCCTGCCCCAGTCTTCCAAGTGCTGAGATCATCAGCATGTGCCACCAGTCTAGTTTTTAAAAGTTTTTATTACAGCCGGGCATGGTGGTGCACACCTTTAATCCCAGCACTTGTGAGTTCAAGGCCAGCCTGGTCTACATAGTGAGTTCCAGGACAGCTGGGGCTACAGGGAGACCCTGCCTCAAAAAGACAAAAAACAAAAAAAAAAGTTTTTATTATAGAAAAACTCAAACATATATAAAAATAGAGGATAAGTTATAGGAACGCCTGTATATGTAGCCATGAAAACTGTATACTCAGAACCAATTTTGCTTCATCTATACCTCTGCCTGCTCACACCAATTACTTTGCAACAAAACTCATATGGTATTATTTTATCCACAACAGTGCAGTATCTCTAAAAGAAAATAGCTTTTTAAAAACCCGTAACTGCAATATATACACTACCAAACACTTCTCCAACTGTCTCAAAAAAAAAAAAAAAAAATGTTAGTTTGTCCAAAATGATACTAAGGTCTCTGTTTTGCAATAAGTCATATCTCGTCTCTTTTAAGGTCTAACTTCCTTTTCTTTCTCCTTATCCTTATTTTTTTGCTGAAGAAAGTAGTTCATCTGTCCCATAAATGTATATGGTCTAATGTTCTGAGTATGTTTATTATTTAATGTGTTCCTCTGTGCTCTGTACTTTCTGAAAACTAGAAATTATACCTAAAGGTTTAGGTGACCAAGGATTCTTCCTGAGTGGTGTGGTGAACTTCTATCTGGAGGCCCATAATGACTGGCTGCCTGTGCTGATGTTAGCTGGAACTGATGATTACTGGATCCACTAATTCTTTAGTGACTACATGATGATCGTGGTGTATCATCCCTCCCGTATTTATTAGCTGGAGTATTGTATGTATGTATGTATGTATGTATGTATGTATGTATGTATTATTTTTGGTCTTTTTGAGACAGGGTCTCCCTATAGCCCCAGCTGTCCTGGAACTCACTATGTAGACCAGGCTGGCCTTGAACTCACAGAGATCCACCTGCCTCTGCCTCCCAAGTGCTGGGATTAAAGGCGTGAGCCACCACGCCCAGCAAGCTGGAGTATTTTAAAAAGAAAAACTTCCCAACACCAAAAAGTTGGTTACACTCAGATATATCAAGAAAAAACTAATCCTCTCCCTTGTCCACTGACACTGAACTGTCTTTCTCTACACACTGCAGTGTTTCAGTTCTGAGTCACAGCCACACACACTGTGACTTTCTTTAGCATGTCCTAATGCCTGCTGCATTGGGCCATGACTGGGACAGCAGTGGCAGAAAGACTTGGTTACCCCCAGTTCTGCTACAGATGCACATAATCATCCACATTTACTGAACTGCTTTCTACATGCTGATTCCCACACAAGGAATAGGCATTCAGACTTCTCTGAGACAGCTCCCTATCTAATAGCTCAGGGGAGAGGACCGCCACAAAACAACGAGCCACAATGCATACATGCAGATGTAAGAACATACAAGGGTACTCTTCATTCTGCCAGGAGGCAGGAGGGAAGCAGTAGCCAAGCCCACACAGACCCTGTGCGACATGTGCTGTGTAGGCCATAAAGGGTGGGCAAGAGGAAGACAAAGCCTACACAGAATAGCAAGTCACAAGGAGGCAGGCAGCTTTCACATATTCTGCAGGTGGACAGTGCCTGTTTGCACTGTTGGCCTCCTTTTTAGCATGAGGCCATCCTGCATAGAACAGAACATCTACCGACGGTCTGTCTGCCTCCACCTCATTTTGGATGCATTGGGTTATTCCCCTCTAATAGAAGCAGAAAAGCCTGCTGACCAACACCTGCTGCCCAGGCTGATCCCACTGCTATTAATCAGCACAGAGCTGATTCCAGAGACTTCTGTCTTCCACAAGAGCCTGACCAAAGGTCTGTGCCTACAGATTAAGACTGGAAGGGAACTAGAGGAAACAGGCAGTACATGAAGATGGCAAGTTTATAATGAAATTTAAAGTCCCTTTTCATGTTGTTATAGCATTGCTTTTCACAAGATATACCATTGAGGGGCTGGAGAGATGGCTCAGCGGTTAAGACCACTGACTGCTCTTGCAGAGGACCTGTATTCAATTCCCAGCACCCACATGGCAGCTATGAACCATCCTTAACTCAGGTTCTAGGGGAATCCGAAGCCCTCTTCTGATCTCCGCGGCACTGCACAACACGGGTGCACTCGTATGCATGCAGGCAATACACTCATACACATAAAATAAAAATAATAAAATATTTTTTAAAAAAGATATACCAGGGACTGGAGAGATGGTTCAGAGGTTAAGAGCACAGACTGCTCTTACAGAGGACCCGGGCTCAATTCCCAGCTCCAACATGGCAGCTACAAACCATCCTTAGCTCTAGTCCCAGGCGAATCCGAAGCCCTCTTCTGACCTCTGCAGCACTGGACGACATGGGTGCACTCACTTACATGCAGGCAATATACTCATAAAAAACAAAAAAAAGCCTGGTGTGGTGGTGCACGCCTTTAATCCTAGCACTTGGGAGGCAGAGGCAGGCGGATCTCTGTGAGTTCAAGGCCAGCCTGGTCTACATAGTGAGTTCCAGGACAGCTGGGGCTACAGGGGAAACCCTGTCTCAAGAAGACCAAAAAATAAATAAATAAATAAATAAAATATTTTTTTAAAGATATATCATTGACTCTGCTTAGTACAGCAAAAGAAAAAGAAAAGCACACAAATAAAAAACATGGTGAGGCGCTAGGGAGATGGCTCAGAGGTTAAGAACACTGGCTGTTCTTGCAGAAGACCTGAGTTCAAATCCCAGCACCAATGGCAGCTAACAACTCTCCGTATCCGACAGCCTCTTCTGTCTTCCGCGGGCATTGCATGACATGGGTGCACTTATCTACATGCAGGCAATATACTCATACATATAAAATGAAAATAATAAAATATTTTTAAAAACTGGTGAGTTGCCGGGTATGGTGGCGCATGTCTTTAATCTCAGCACTCAGGAGGCAGAGGCAGGCAGATCTCTGTGAGTTCAAGGCCAGCCTGGTCTACATAGTGAGTTCCAAGTCAGCTGGGGCTACAGGGAGATCCTGTCTCAAAAAAACAAAAACAAAATAATAATAAAAAAAACAACAACAACAAAAAAAACGTAGGTCAAATAGAGCCTGGCTCTTTCTAAACTATCTTCAAGTTTTGAAAAAATACCTAGCACATCAGCCAGGAGTAGTCATCTTGGGCAAGGAAGAAACCTCAGGTGTCTCTGTCTAGCCTCTTGCCATGGGCTTATCAGACAGTCTCACCATCCACACTGGGGAATGCTATGAACCCAAGTTGGCCTTCTTTTCCCAGTCTGAGCAGAAAAAGGCTCATAGGTACATACTAAACAATGACTCACTGGCTAATTAAAATAAGATCCCTTCACCCCATCTTCATACCTCTCCCAGCAACGTATGCTCCCCATTCTTTCCTCCAGTGGAAAGAGTCTGTGATTAGGTAAGGGGAACCAGCCAGACTGAGGCCTGAGGTCTTTCTTGGGTCTTTTGGGAAGAAAACCCAGTGTCTCAGTAGAGCTCAACTTGCCCTCTTTTCCTTTTCTCATCTGCAGACCCACAGGTACCCCACTGTACTGTTTGCAACTCTTTATCCCCTTCCTTTCCATTTCACTGTCATCGGCTATCCAGACTCTACCTCCTGACACCCACCCACTAAACCTTCCTGTGTGTAGGACTCCTTGAAGACCCACTTTCACTAAAGATATTGACAACATATTTCATCACATTAAGGAATTGTAATTTTTATGGTAAATTATAATATTATGCTTTGTTTTTTGTATTGGGTGTGTGTGTGTGTGGTGTGTGTGTGTGTGTTTGAGACAGGGTCTCCCTGTAGCTCCAGATGGCCTGGAACTTGCTATGTAGACCAGGCTGGCCTCAAACTCACAAATATCCACCTGCCTCTCTCTGCCTCCCAAGTGCTGAGGTTAAAGGTGTGCACTACCACACCTAGCCTGTTTTGGCATTTTAAAATTACATTTATGTATTTATTTATTTGGGTGTTGGAGGAGAAGCACACATGCCATGGTGTGTATGTAGAGGTCAGAGAACAACTTGTAGGAATTGATTCTCTCCTTCCACCATGTGGATCCTGGGGATCAAACTCACAGGTCCTTGGGCTTGGTGACAAGTACCTTTATCTACTGATCCATCTTGTCAGCCCGGTTTGGTATTTTTTAAAAAGAAGACTTATTTTGCAGAGATGCATTTTGAAATATTACAGATGTTTGGGTTTTGATGAAAAACATAAAAGACAAACACAAGCGAAATATAAATGAAATAAGAAAGGCCATGGATGGATGGTCACAGTAGTGAGGGTTCATTACACTACTCTGTCCACGCTCTCTCACATTGGAAATTTTCCATTAAAACAAAACATGGATAGATGGTTGGAGAGATGGCTCAGGTTCCAATCCCAGCACCCATTTATGGCAGCTCACAAATGGTCTGTTAATTCCAGTTCTATGGAATCCAATGCGCTTTTTTGGCTTATGAAGGCACTTCACACACAGTGTACTTACATACATGTAGGCAAAACACTAAAAACATACACATTAAAATGCAAAAACAATTAAAAAGAAAAAAAGAAACCATAGATAAGTGCTCGAGAGATGGCTTAGCAGGTAAAAGCTCTTGCTGCACAAGCATGAGGACCTGAGTTTGGATCCCCAGCACTCACATAAAACCTGAGTGTACCTGTACATGTCTGTAACCCCAGTATTAGGGGGTGGGAGGAGGGGACAGGGACTGGTGAATCCTAGGAGCTCATTGTCCAGCTAGCCTAGGACACAAGTTGAGCACTAGGTTCAGTGACAGACCTTGTCTCAAGAGAATAAGGTAGAGTGCCATAGAGCAGGACCCATTATCTTCCTTTGGTCTCCAGTGTGTGCATGAGTGTGGGCACATTCCTGGACATGCATACACCACACCCAAACAAATTTTAAAAAGAAAAAAACCATAAACAAACACATAAATAAAATGTTTTGAGGGCCAAACTAAATGTGTCTGTAGTTCTAATAAAACCCTAGACTGCAAGTTTATAATTGCTGGTCTAGGGGCTGGAGAGATGGCTCAGCAGTTAAGAGCAATGACTGCTCCTGCAGAGGACCCGGGTTTAATTCCCAGCACCCACATGGCAGCTACAAACTGTCCTTAACTCCAGTTCCAGGGGAATCCAAAGCTCTCTTCTGACCTCCGCAGCATTGCATGACATGGGTGCACTCACATACATGCAAGCAATACATTCATACACATAAAATAAAAATAAGTAAAATATTTAAAAAAAATAATTGCTGGTCTATTTTGTTATTTGATATTTAGCAGGTATTAGCCTTGCTTTCTTGTATCTTCTTGTTTTTGCTTGTTTGTTTTGAGAGAGGGTCCCACCACATAATTTTGGATGACCTGGAACTCACTAGGTAGACCAGGCTGGCCTTGAACTCACAGAGATCTGCCTGCCTCTGCCTGGATTAAAAGCATGCACTACCTTATTCATCATAAATGAAGTATGCTTTCACTATGCTCAGAGGAGTGGAGCTCTGAAACCCCTCAGGGTCTACTGGGAGGGGAGAAGTTGCTTTTTTAGTCAGGCACTTACTTCTGACTGGCTTCCATTTCCAGCAGAGCAGATAGGGCTGAGGTTCCTTTCTTCCCAACTGGGGGTCCTGAAGACTCGAGGGAGTGTGCAGAAATGGGCCCCGTCATCTGTAAGCCTTTTATTGCAGTCCCTTTCTAAAGTACAGAGAGGAGACAGGCCATCAGTCCAAACAGGCTCTCATAGGCACACTCCAGCTAGGCTGTTACATTTTCAATCCTGGGGAAGTCAGTTAACACAGCAGAGGAACACAAATTCTACGTGTTTAGCAAATGACAGAAAGAAATTAGGTTCAGAGAGGTTAAGCAATTTATTCCAAATCCCACTGGAGCTGGAGTTCAAACTCCAGTCTCATCACTTCTAGAAACTCTAATCATAAGTGATGTTGTTTATAGAGAGCAACTGGTGTAGGAGAAAGAGCCTGAGGTTAAAAAAGGGGCTGGAGAGATGGACTCGGGTTCAATTTGTAGCACCCCCATGGTGGCTAACAACTATCCTAACTCCAATTCCATGAATCCAATGCCCTCTTCTGGCCTCTGTGGGCTTTGCACTCATATACATAAAATAAAAATAAGGGGCCTGGGCTGGAGAGGTTGCTCAGTGGTTAAGAACACAGGCTGTTCTTGCAAAAGACCTGGGTTTAAATCCCACATGGTGGCTAACAACTGTCCATAACTCCAGGCATTGTACAACATGGGTGCACTGACATACATGCAGGTAATATATACATACACATAAAATAAAAATAAATAGTTTTTAAAAAATTAAAAAGAGCCAGGCGTGGTGACGCATGTAATCCCAGCCCTTGGGAGGCAGAGGCAGGCAGATCTTTGTGAGTTCAAGGCCAGCCTGGTCTACATAGTGAGTTCCAGGACAGCTGGGGTACAAGGAGACCCTGTCTCAAAAAGACCAAATAAAAATTTTTTAATTAAAAAGAAACAGAATCAGGGGCTGGAAAGATGGCTCAGCAGCTAAGAGCACTGATTGCTCTTGCAGAGGACCTGGATTTGATTTCCAGCACCCACATGGCAGCTATGAACCGTCCTTAACTCCAGTTCTCCAGGGGATTTGACACCTTCTACTGCCTATGACACAAGTGCACTTACATACATGCAGGCAGTACACTCATTAAAAAAAAAGGTAGGGCTGATGAAAAATAGCACCAAGAGATTAAAAAGAATGAACTGGCTGGGCGTGGTGGCACAAGCCCTTAATCTCAGCACTTAGGAGGCAGAGACAGGGTGATCTCTGTGAGACTGAGGCCAGTCTGGTCTGCATTCTGAATTCTAGGCCAGCAGGGGCTAAAGGAAGACCCTGTTTCAATCTCCCTCCTTCCTCACCCGAAATACAGGAACTTGAATGAATCCTAAAGCATAATGATGTGAAAGAAGCCAGCTTCAAATGGTTTTGTTATCTGACAGCATTTTGTAACATTTGGAAAAGACAAAATTATCATGATGGTCAAAAGACCAGTGGTTGCTAGGAGACAGAGATGGAGGAGAGCATGACTGCAAAGGGTCACATGATGCTTTCTTGTTTGTTTTTCCTTTCCCTTCCAGTACTGCGGGTCAAACTCAGGATCTCTCAACTGCTAGGCAAGAGGTCTACCTGAGTTACATCTCCAGTCTTACAGAGCTTTATGAAATGATGGAACTCTTTATCTTGATTGAGGTGGTTGGTGACACAAATCCATATATTTGTTTAAAATGTATACAGATGGGGCTGGAGAGATGGCTCAGCGGGTAAGAACACTGGCTGTTCTTGCAGAAGACCTAGGTTTGAATCCCAGCACCCATATGGCAGCTAACAACTGTCCTTAACTCCAGTTTCAGGGGATCCCACAGCCTCTTCTGTCCTCCGCAGGCACTGCATGACGCAGGTGCACTTACCTACATGCAGGCAATACACACATACACATAAAATACACAGAGACAGGTCCATCATACTAGATTTTTTTTGTTGTTTTTCAGTTTTTATTTTATGTAATGAGTGTTATGTTTGCATGTTATGCAATTGTACCACATGTATACAGTGCCCGCAGAGACTAGACATGTGTCAGCTCCCTTGGAACTGGAGTTATGGACAGCTGTGCTCTCTCAGGTGAGTGTTGGGGAGCAAACCCCAGTCCTCTGCAAGAACAGACAGTGTTCTTAATTACTGAACCTACTCTCCAACTCCCTATATGTTAATTTAAGCAAAACAATGCTGAACCATAGATCTGTCCCTTATTGGCTAGGTAAGTGGCCTCAGACATGTCCTATAACCTTCATGAGCCTCAGTTTTCCAACTAAGTAGTAGCCTATGATTGAAATGAAAGACCAAGAACAGCAGCAACTAGAAAAGTAATATAAGAATAAGGAAGGATTGCTGCTATTAACCTCCTAAGAGCTTTTACTCAGCAGTTCAGTGCCACATAACACAGCAGATTTGCTCCATACTAGGTCCTACTTAGGGAACACATAATGGGTGCTGTGTCCTCAGCTACAAGGGGCAGCTCAAGTCAAAAGGCACTGTCCAGTTACTGTCTGTACTCTATCCCTCTCTCCTTCATCCTGCAACAGGTGACATATAGCTGGGGATTTCAGACTTAAGTTATATTGGGCAGTCGTGGGATAAATCATCTGGTAAATAAGAGACCTGTGAGAAAGGAAGAGGTAGATCCAAATCCCAGGCTAAGTGCAATCCTCAGAAGCCCTAACAGTCCTCACCCGCATCATGCGATCTGAGCGATGACGCCTGCGGATTCGGTTCAAACCTTCCACAAAGCGGATAAAACCATCTAAGAGCTGCCATTCATCTTCATCTGCACGGGGCCTGTCACCATAGATGTCGCAGTGTACCTCCCCTTCCGTGATGCGTTTGGTGGCAGTGACACAAGCTGGCAGCAGTAGGAATCGAGTTCTCCAGAACTTTAGGGATTCAATTAAGCTATGGAGAGCCAAGAAAAACAGGGTGGAGGTGAGAAGATGAAGATGCTAAAAGCCCTTCCCTGGTGAACTCTCTTGGGAGTGAGAGGATCTGTCCCCCCGGGCACATGTACATCTCAGCCTAATGGCTTTGCTTAAGACATAAGACACAAGATGATAAGGAAGACCCAACAGTCACTTTTCTTTAACCCCAGAGACATCAGGGTGCTTCTGTGCATCCAGACCCAGTGAAGTGGGTCATCACAATTAGCAATCATACAGAAAAAGCAAAAATGATAAATGAGATACCACAAAGCTACCAGCCAGAAAGAACATGTTGAAGCTATTTGGTAACATGAATCCCTGTTTTTGTTAAAAATGGACAAACCTGTATACAAGCATATACATGCACACATGTGCACACACATCCACACATGTACACACAGACAGGTCAATTCTACCATATGTTAGATTAAATAAAACAATGCTGAATTACAAATCTGCCCCTTGTTTTCTAGGTAGCCTCAGGTATATCCTGTAACCTTCATAAGCCTCAGTTTCCCTACTGAGTCAATGATCCATGCTGACACTTGAACCAAGGGCCACATTGTCACTGAATCCTTTTTTTCTGATTGTAGTAAAATATACATAACAAGATATATCACTTAAGACTATTTTTTTTTTTTTTTTGGTCTTTTTGAGACAGGGTCTCCCTATAGCCCCAGCTGTCCTGGAACTCACTATGTAGACCAGGCTGGCCTTGAACTCACAGAGATCCGCCTGCCTCTGCCTCCCAGTGCTGGGATTAAAGGCATGTGCCATGACCCCTGGCTTAGACTAATTTTAAGTCTATAAATCAATGGCATCACCACTACCCATCTTATCCCACACAGATTTTAACTCATGCAGATCTGTTTTTATCCCTCCATTTCTTTCTGATAGATAAAATACAACAGAGAAAAGGACTGAAGTGTTAAGATGCATATACCCAAGGCAGCAAGGATGGAAAGCTAAAGCCTCTCTCTAACCTGAAATCTTCAGAGCCAGCGGAACAAATATACTGATCTAAGTAGTTCCATTTGTACTCCTCTAGCCGCTCGTGGGAGAATTCCACCCAACAGGAGACAAACTCTGAGTCTGAATGGGAAGGGCAAAGGCTGTAGGTGTAGTGGATCTGAGCAGATTCATATGGGTACCTGAAAAATAAAGGATACACCTGGGTATTAAAAAGAAATTTGCACATCTACACTTTCTGTTTTCTATTTCAGTGCACCTGATACTATCCTGGGCTGGTCCCCAGCTATAGTAATCAACTCATCCTAGGAAACCATAATGGAAAGTTCTAAGAGCTCCTTAAACTTTATCATTCCTCATTTATTACATTCTTTATTTTTAATTGGCTTGATATGAGCCATGCCAAACTTTATAAACTGAACCAATTCCCTTTTTGAAGTGGCAAACAATAACCCTATATGTTATCTTAAAGCAAAACAAAAATTCCAAAAGAAATCCTAATTGTTCAACTTCCTATACATATAAGTTAGTATCAGACATAATTCAAAATGGTAGCTGAAGACCTTAAATATCCAAGGACTCACTTGGGAAGGTATCGTGTCACTGTGATCATCTTGTCCTTCAGTGTCACCTTGTGGAAAGTTCTGCCCATACTCAGCCAATACTGGTCCTCCTCCTCGGGGCGATTTCGGGATACAAGGCCTAATAGAGAAAATAATAACAACTTCCTTCATCTGGCTCACTCTTACAATAGACAGTTGTTCTTTATTCACACAGACACAGATAAGGAGAAACAAAAGAGGCACTTTGTTTTGAGGGGAGTTTCACAGAAATTATTCTTGGTTAATAAATAATAAAATTTCCAAAGCTGGCAAGTCTTTCTTTTATTAAACTAACCAGCAGCAGACCAGAGTCTGAAAGTGCTGGCAGCAGCAAGAGGTCCCACACCAAGCCTGATGACCAGTCCTCTGGAGTAAATGTTAACAGGTTTGGAGATGACTGTGGGATTAAAATGGAACTCCACTCCACCCAAGGACATCCAGGCATCGCTCGGGGTGGGCACTCAACGCGGCATGGTAGTCTTTGCTCCCACTTCTCTCATACCTTTACTCCCAGCTTCCATCTGAAAGGACCTTTTGTTTAGTTTCTGCAATTTCGGCCCCTACACATTTGCTCATGAAGTTTCTTTTGTCTTTTCTTCCTTGACCACTAATTGAAATCTTATGGATTTATTGTTTATATGTATTGTATGTGTGATACCACTAGAGCACATATGTGAAGGTCAGAAGACAATGAAGGAGTCTGTTCTCTTCTTATACATGTGGATACTGGGGACAACTCAGGTTACAGGGCTTGGTAGCAAGTGCCCTTACTGGCTAAGTCATCTCACTGGCCCATCTTCCAGATTATTCAAAATTACCCCCAAAGGCAACTTCCTTGGGAAAGCTGTCAGACACCATCAGTCATCTGAATATCTTATACGTAGCTCCTAAAGTATTTGTCTCTCACTCTCTTATGAACTATATGTTTCAAGGACCTAGGCACAGTGCTGCATAGCTAGGATTCAAGCTACTCAGGAACTAAGACAGGAGACCTGCTTGAGCCTAGAGGTTTGAGGCCAGACTATGCAACACAATGAGATGCTGCCACAAGACCAAGTTAAATTTAAATTTAAAATAAAAGTTCTAGGAGGCCAGGGCCAAATACTATTTATCCTTATATTTTCAATTAGCACCTGATAAAAGTGCCCAGAGGGAATGTTTAAAAACCTTAATTGAGGGGTGGGAGAGATGGCTCAGCAGTTAAAAGCACTGACTGCTCTTGCAGAGGACCCGGGTTCGATTCCCAGCACCTACACGGCAGCTACAAGCCATCCTTAACTCCAGTTCCAGGGGAATCCAAAGCCCTCTTCTGGCATTACACGACACAGGTGCAGGCAATACACTCATACACATTAAAAAAAAAAAAAAAACCCACCCCCCCCGACCAAAAAAAAAAACCTTAACTGAACTGAATTACACATAGAGGAGAGGAGAATAATGAGGAATCAGGAAGACAATGACAAGTGTTCAAAAGAGCAAACACTGTGCCTCAACAATCCTCCTGACCTAAAAAAAATGAAGCATGCTATTCTCTCTTGTTCAGCTCAGAGAGATGGCCACATAGTGGCAGGTAGTATGGGAGTGGTCAAGAGAAGACAGGATAGCAGCGGCTGAAAGGACCTTCACTGTGAAGGTAAAAATTTCCCAGATGAGGCTGAGGCAGGCCAGTGGCTAGCGACCGCCTGTAACTCCAGTTCCAGGGGATCTGACACCATCTTCTGACCTCTGCAGGCCTTGCATGACATGGGTGCACCCACCTATATGCAGGCAACACACTCATACATATAAAATAATAAATAATAAAATATTTTTTTAAAAAAAGAAAAGAGGCTTTGACTCAGGACCCTGGGTTAAACTTCAACTCTTTGATCTCCTGGCTGCATGATCACTAGTAGCAAATCTCTCCAAGTTTTGCTTTCTGCAACCAGAAAGAGGCCCACCCTATAAGGTATTCCTTTATTCATGCTAGAAATACCCTGACGGCTGTCAGGAAGACCATGTCAGGGGATAAGGTTCATTCATGGGCATTGAGCTAGGCTTCCTGAGAACTCATCCTGAATTAGGTGTGCCCCAGTTACTGCTGCTTTTATGATGCCAGGACTCCTCACAATCTGTGGCCAAATATGTATTTGTGGTTTATTAGATTAATGCCTGCCTCCTCCAGTGGACTGGAAACCTCAAAGGCAGGGTCAATGCAGTGTTCACTACAGGAACAAGGCCAGCTTACATTTGGTAATCAATAAATCTGAAACAAGCAAATAGCACAGGCTTGGTTATAAGAGCAAGTTTTCCAGTAACTCCAGTAATAGCAGTACCATTTCTATTGCTACAGAAATAAGTTTACCTCTGGCAACTAGCCATGAAATAAGGCTCATGAATCAGTCAGGATCAGCATTAGAAAAATTATAAACCCACGAGGGACATTCACCATCTAGTCTAAATAGTAGAACCTGGGCAGGCCGGATGTGGCCAGTTACATTTAAAAGCAAATTCATGTCGGGTGTGGGGGCACACGCCTGTAGTCCCAGCACTTCACAGGCAGAGGCAGGCAGATCTCTGTGAGTTCAAGGGCAGCCTGGTCTACATAGTGAGTTCCAGGATAGCTCGGGCTACAGGGAGACCCTGTCTCAAAAAGACCAAAAAAAAAGCAAATTCATTCTATTGCTCTTGGGCTAAAGAGTGAAATTCTTGCTGTGGTCTTGTGAGTCCTGAAATCTCTGGCTACACCTCCAGCTCCATGTTCCATCATACTAGCTTTCTTTTTGTTGTTCAAAAAGTATCACACTCTCCTGCCACAGGCTTTTATAGACACTGATTCCTCTGCTTGTACACTCTGCCCTTCAACTTTACACCCTCCATTATCAAGCTGCTTCTCCTAATGATCCTTATAAATTTCAGGTCTAAGCTCAAACATCACCTACTCAAAGAAACCAAAACAAATTCTCTAGACCAGATAAGGCCCCAAATTAAATAGGCTTATCAGCCTTTAACTTTTCCTTCCCAGTCTTTTTATCACAGCAGGTAATTTTTTCATAGTTTGATTGTTATTTTCTTTTCATTGAGCTATAAAGTCCCCTCTCAAAATAGACCTTCAAAGACATTATTGAGTGAATGAATAAATGCATGCATTTATTTAATATCTTTTGTATTCTAAGCAATGTGGTTTCCATGGTGGAAGTAAAAAAGATGAATCCAAAACGGTCTTCGTACTCAAAAAAGGTTAATATAGTCCAAACCAGGTATGAGAATACATGCCCATAAAGCCAGCACGTGGAGGTAAGGCAAGAAGGTCCAGAGTTCAAGGCCAGCTTCAGCTACAGTGGACGGTCAAGTCCAATCTGGGTTACATGAGACCTTGTTTCAAAAAACAAAACAAAAGAGGCCCAGCTTGGTGGCACACACCTTTAATTCCAGCATTCAGGAGGCAGGGGCAGGTGGTTCTCTGTGGGATTGAGGCCAGCAGGTCTACATATCGAGTTCCAGGACAGCTGTGCTACAGGGAGATCCAGTCTCAAAATAAAACAAAAAAGCAGGATCCAGAGTACAAATAGAAGGCAACATGGAACAAATGTCACACAGAGCATTCCAAGAAAATCCAGAAGGGATCCACTGCTTCATTTACAACACTGAGGTCTGGGCTGACTACAGCTAAGCGTCTCCTACCAGGTCCACACTTCTCTACTCTGGCCAGAGGAGCTTTAATAGAACCAAAGATGATCTGAAGTTTTATGCTGGCTGAACAGGGGAGTGGAGGTCTCATTAGCAAAAATGAGGAAGCAAGGGACCAAGACAGCTCACTGATTGGTCCAGAAAGTGACAACTGCTTTCTAGTTCCAGGCACCCACACTTAATACATGAAGACAAAACACTGGTACACATAAAAAATAAAAATAGCCAGGCGTGGTGTCTCAAAAAAACCAAATAAATAAATAAATAAATAAAAATAAAAATAATAAATATTTGGTGGTGCACTCCTTTAATCCTAGCACTCGGGAGGCAGAGGCAGGTGGATCTCTATAAGTTCAAGGACAGCTGGGGCTACAGGGAGACCCTGTCTC